AGGAAGATAGTTGTTCTGTGCAGAATCAACCTCCCAAAAGTCCAAGGGAACTTACACTGCAAGATATGGGTTTCTTTGAGGACAAGTCTGTGGACATTTGTAAAAGATGCCTAGTTATGAATTATGGGTTTTGTTTGCAAGAATATTTGCAGAACTCATGCAGCTGTGCCTACACAATGATACACACTGAAAAGGACGTTAGCTATCTTCCCAACAGGGAGAGGAAAAAACACAATGTGACTTAGGTGAGCCCTTGCACATCACAAATAGAGAATTATAAATAATAAATATTCAAGGTTATATTTGTACTGACTAATTCATAAGAAATCCAATAAATATCAAAGAAATATTTTGTTTGAATAAAACCTCTGAATAATATTAATAAATAGCAGAACCTGTTCCCATGTGATTTACAAACAGGTTCCTACCTCTTCTATTTGATTAAAGAGATCTATTATACCCAATTGCCATGTTCAGACAATAGGCATTTCTGGTATTAAGGAAATATCACAACAGTGTTCAGGCAAAAGGCCATTGCAATAAGAGGAAATAAAATCTTGAATCAAGTTGATCATTTTAAACCAATATTACATTTTGGCAGAACCCAGTAATTACAAAAAGATACCTAACTACGGATATATTCAAAAGGGACATTGGACAGCATCTCTCCTCCCCCACATACAAAAAAGATTTACAGTAAGAGAATATGGACCAACAAAGACGACGGTGTTTAAATAATTAGATGCTCTCCAAGGTGGTTTTGAAATAATTGGATTCCATGTTTCCATCAGTATAGGCAATCCAACTCCCTGAGAGGCAGTAGCTAGGTTAACAATAAACTTGCTCCATCAACTTATCTAAGCTTCCACGTAGACAGCTCTAAGTTTAACTATATGACACATTTTCACACCCCTGCGCCAACCTAATTTCCTATTGCAGACAAGCTGCAAACACCGGATATTTCAAATTATATTTGAATATGCTACAAAAGTGTTTAGTACAGTCAGAAAAAATTGATGCCATTTTGTGTACTGAAGGCCTGATCTGACTCCCAAAAAAGTTAATGGGAAGACAGTAGTGAAAGTTGTAAGTAGGCCCTGTTCCTGCAAACTGAAACACTAGTTCAGACTTTACCCACAGGAAGTGAAATTTGTGGGACTCCATAGGGTATGTCTACACTGCAGTTAATTCAAAATAACAGCCATTATTTCGAATTAACTTCAATAGCGTCTATACATGCAAACAACTATTTCGAATTTAATTCGAAATAGCGGGGCGCTTATTTTGAATTTGGTAAACCTCATTCTACAAGGAGTAACGCCAAATTCGAAATAGCTAATTCGAAATAAGTGCTGTGTAGACACTTAATTCGAATTAGGGGGCCTCCAGCCCTTCCCAGTTTCCCCTGGTGGCCTCTCTGGGCCAAACCAGGAAAACTCCTCTCCTCTCCCCCAGCCCCGGAGCCCTTAAACGGGTAGACTCTGGCCAGACGGCACGTGCCAGAGCCAGGCCTGCCAGCAGTCTCTGCCCCTGACCTAGTGGCCCCAGGATGAGTCAGGCAGTCAGTGCCAGCCAGCCGTCCCCAACCGAGTCCCTCAGCACCCAGGGACCAGTCAGAGGCTGTAGACAGTGCGTGCCCACCTGGACTGGTGCAGAGATCGTGGACCTCAGAGGTTTCGGGGGAGGCCCCAATGTCCATGATCTGCACAACAGGAGAAGGAACCCAGCCGTCTATGGCCACTTAGCAGCCACCAGGGCCCAGAAAGGCTCCTAGGTGCACCTAGGAGCAGGTGAGCCTGAAATTAAAGAGTTATGGCAGGGGGTTGCCAGGGCCACCAGGGGCGGTGCTGCAGCAGGGGCGGACACCTGCCCCTACTTCCCTGCCCTCAACCGCATCCTGGGGGCCGGGACGTTCCGCGCCACCCCAGGGGGCAGCGAGCCAAGACCAGAGGGCCCTGACCTAGGAGCGGCAGAAGGGCCAGCACAGAGGGTGCCATGCCAGTGGGATTCCCGAGCTGTCCTGGCACTGGAGTCAGCAGGGTCATCAGGGGAGGCCACACCAGGTAAGTGCCATCACTGTCCCCTACCCGGGGGAGGGGGGCAGAGAGCAGAGAGGGAGACCAGGGACTGTGCGCATGGGCCATGCCTCCTATGGATCATGCAGCCACCTGTGCATTTGCAGGCACGTGCCGTGCCACCCTTGGGAAGGTGGCTCCAGCTGCATGCCACACAGGGGCTGTGGCCCGATAGCCACACGTGTGTGTGACGAGACCTGACATGCTCCTGACCCTGGGGTGGGACCCAGCAGGATACCTTCCCTCCACATGCCCCCCTCTACACAGAGGCAGGGGACATCTCCCCCCACCTCGGCCACACTATACACGGCACAGGAGCATGGGTGCAGCCTTGGGGCAGCTCCCACTCCCGAGGAGAGCCAGACATCCCGACCATGGCCTCTGTGCAAGCATGTCGGCTCTGACGATGCAGGGCATGGTTGTCCTCACCTCGCAGGGGGCGCTGGGCATCATCCACTGTGTCCCCAGGGAGAACTGACCATTGCCCTTCTTTCTCCACAGCCGCACCAGCTGCACGTGCAGGGCGCACCACCCTGCCTGGGACATGGTCCCGCACCCAAGGGCTCCTCCAGACCACCAGCACACGACAGGGATACCAGGACCAGCACCTGGTGCCCTGCGAGCCTTGCACCGCACCATCCAGGCCTGGGTGCAAGAGGACCTGCAGCTCCCCCGGAAGCAGCTTGCCCTGGACTGTGCCATGTGCTCACACCTGCAGGCCCTGCTCCAGAGCATGCTGCCCCGTGCCTCCCCAGCGCCTGCTGCCCCCCCCAGCTACTGTTCCTCTTCCCACTCCTGCCCCCCTCCCCCTCCTCCCTCCTCAACCTCCACACCCTCGTCCTCAATCTCCACACCCCCCCCACCTCAAGCTCCATACCCTCCTCCCCATCCCCCCGGGGATGCCAAGGCCCCCGCACCCACTGTGCTGGGAGACATGTGGCCCGACGAGACCCCCAACCTTGAGCACTAAGCTTCCCCTCCCCCTTCCTCCCCTTGCTTCCCCCTTCCAGCTCCCTCCTCCCAGTGTTGCCCCTCCCCTCTCCCACCCTCTCTCCTCCAATCTCCTGCCTCCTTTCACCAGTATCCCCAGAGGTTCATTCCCCTCCCCCCCCCCATTTTGTTAAATAAACAGTTTCTATTTTTGAAAAAAAGTGTATTTTATTTGACATCAAGAAAGGGGGCTAGGGAGGGGTAAGTGGAAGGATGTGAGTGAGGAATGGGGCACGAGCCCCCGGTGGGGAGGACCAGGGTGGCTCTGAGGGCTCCGCAGGGTGGATGCTCTTCCGCAGGGCCTCCTGGATCCTGACAGACCCCCAATGAACCCCCCGGATGGCAGCCTGCAGCAAGTGCAGCTGGTCTGATGGCAACAGCCCCACAAAAAGCACCGGCGTGCCCAGGGGCAGCTCTGGCTCCATGTGGCTGAATGCTGTGATGTGCCGAGTGCGGGCACTCTGGGCACCCCAAGACAGAACTGCTTTGTTGTCCCTCACTGAGGTAGACAAGCAAGTGGGGAACCCTGAGAACTGTCTGTCCAGGGTGGAGGTAGGGTCCCTTTAAGCATGGAGCTCAGTTAGCCTGAGGCAGCAGCCCCACACACTAAGTCCTAACCTGATGCCCTGCTGGCACAGGTTCCGGCCGGCCTTAACTTCGGTTCAGGGTCCACTCAATGTGAACACGCTATTTCGAAACACTAGTGAATCTACAGAACTGGGGATCTAAGCCCTCAGTTCTGCATTTAACATGCACGCGGAAAATTCAGCACTGTAATATTTGCATTACATTCTAAGTGGTTGCTGAAGGTCTCTTTTTAGAAAGAAGAACTGCTCCTTTTTGTATATTGCTTGCAAAATATCTACGATGAGGAAAAGTTCTCTTATGCAGCAAATTTTATTTCCCAGCTTCTGAAGATATAAATAAGATCAACTGCCCTATTGACCACAGGAATGAAGACACAGTTATAATCCATAAGAAGTTTGGTAAGAGTATCTCATCTATCTTTTCACTCTCCAATATATATGTATAAATGTATCAGTTGGAAAGGTAGAGTAAATTATTAAGAATTAGCAAGAATGATGATTTAATTAAGCAAGGCACACAGCCTTCAGAACCATTTGAGCAGGAAGCCAGGGAGGAAACAAGACAGGGATGGAGCTAGTTGGGAATGCAGTGGAATAAAGTGCTGCCCAACGCCATAACAACAACGAGGAGAAATCATGTTGAAAAATGTCTGACAAATATTAAAAACAATTCCTGATTTTGTTTCCAAAACTGATGCAGGAAATCATTATGTTTTTAAACAGCTTTATCTAAGAACACAACCATGTTAAAAATAAAATGCTTCATATCTCATTAACTAGGTCTGCCAGGAGCTGAGCTCACAAAATGTATTATTGTTAGTGTGGATTCATATGGGTAAGTCCAGTGCATTATGTGGTGACTACCATTTAACATCTTATCTTCCCACATAAAGAGGCTCTCTTGTGGTTAAAGATCATTGAAATCTGTGGCAGAAATGGTCCAGAAAAATTGTACTGACTCTTGCAATAAAGACTGGGTAGAAGCTCTGCTATCATATAATGTGCAATTCCATTGTAACTGAGCAGTGGTACTTATATATGATAGAGCAGTGATTTTCATCCTCTTCTGTACTCAGAGGCATCTGCCCCATTTGGGAAGGACAATGTGACTGGAACCTTATGGCACTTTCCTATGACCCCCAAGATTGGGACTCTGTCACCCAGTATTATCCTGCATGTTAATATTTAACTGCACCCTGAAAGGGCTGTGACTACAGGAGCTGTAAAGTCTCTAGCTTGTTTGAATTGCTTCAGTCTTACTTTTTTTGAATTAGTCATATGGGAGGAAGTAAGACCAAGTTATTAAAGCCCAGAACTGGACACTAGAGTGCCAGGTCCTGTTACCACAGTTGTCACAGACTTCCTTGTGATCTTGAGGCACTCGGTCTGGGAGTGGGCAATAATTGTTGAGGAGAGGCCACTCCAAGATTTTGGTAAGTGGTCAAGGACTGCACTTTTCTATGGAAGGAGTTTGGGGTCTGGGGCAGAGGTTGGGTGCAGAAGGGAACTCGGGGTAGGGAACTGGGGTGCAAGAGAAGGTGTGGAGTCTGAGAGGGAGTTTGGGTGAAGGAGGGGGTTGTGACCTGTGACAGGTGATTGGGCTGCAGGTCCTGGAGGGGGTGTGGGTGCAAGAGAGGATTCTGACCTGGGGGAGGAATGTCAGAGGAGGTACAGGGAGCTGTGCCTTGGGGCAGGAAGGTACAGAGGGTTTCAGATGCTGACCTGGGGCAGGGAGATGGGATGCGGGAGAGGGTGGAGTGCCAGAGGCAGGCTCTGGCCAGGAGGTGCTTACCTAGGCAGCTCCCAGCCAGTAGCCCAGCAGGACCAGCCCCAGACCACTCAAAGCAGCTAGCTGTTCTAAGTGGCTCTCTGCACCATGAGCAGGGGACGGGAATGCTTTGGTTCTGGCCATTAGGAGATGAAAGACTGTGCTGGGGGTAGGGGCAGCACACAGAGCCCTCCTCCCCCACCAGCTGGCAGTGCAGAGAGCCAAGTGGAGCAGACAGCAGCTTTGAGCTGTGTGGAGCTGCTCTATGCCTAAAGGTCCATGAGCCTTCTGGGGCAGGCTGTAAGCTGGAGTAAAAGGCTTGGTGGGTCGTATCTTGCCTGCCCCTGCCTTAATCTCTCTGGGTATGTCTACACTACAGCACTAATTCAAACTAACCATCCCCACTCCTGCTGGCCCAGTGTCATAAGGCAGCTCTCATCTCCAGGCTGCTGCTGGCCACTGACAGAATCCAGCTGCCACCTGTCCCCTGGCTACAGCACAGGCAGGAAGGAGTTAAACCCTAAGGCTGCTTTGTGAACCTGACTCCAGGAGCTTCAGCCAACCTGGCCAGAGACGTGGCTCTTCAGGGGAGGGTGCCTAGGGAATGAAGCCGCCCTGCACTCCCTCAGGGCAGGACCCAGGCTGGGGGTGAGCATGGTATCTCAGGCCAGAGGAGGCCATGCCTCCACCCATGTCTCGCCCTGAGGCCCCCTCCTGCTTCCCACTCTTCCCCCATCACCCCACCCAGGCTGCTCCTCTTCCCCAAAGCAGGACGGGGCTGGGGATAGGGTGGGCCAGCAGGTGGGTGGGACTATCTGGTGCTCCACAACTAGGGATGGCTGGGACCTCCTGCCTGGTACTCACACAGGGCAGCACAGAGATGGGGGGATCTGGTGTCAGCCAGCAGGCTGGAACTAAGGTTGACTGGGGCGAGGATGCTCCAGGTATGGGGCGGGGGGGAAGAGAGAGGCCAGGATCTGACCAGTAGCAGGACACATCAGTACTGAT